CCGGCAGCGCCCCGGGCCGCGGCTGTCGCCCGAGAGGGGCGGCCAGGACGCTGTCATGCAGGATCCTACCCCGGAAAGCGCCGAGGAGAGCCAGGCGGCGTCAACGGCGGAGGGCGGCGGGGCCTCCTGTCTGCAGAGGGTATTCGAGGAGGCGCGGGAGTCGTCGCAGCTGAGCGCGGTCCCCGCGGAGCCGCCGGCCGTGACGGTGGTGGCGGTGGAGCGGTACCTGGCGCAGGCGCCGCCCGCCGCCCGCTCTCACTACTGGTACGACCTGACGCTGGCGGACAGCGCGCGCCGGCACCGCTGCCACCTCGCGCCGCGCTTCAACGGGCTCGTGCAGCGCGCGCGCCTGCGGCCGGGAACGCGCGTCCGCCTCACCCGCTGCTCGTACCGCTACGACGAGAAGCGCCTGAACCACGGCTTTCTGTGCCTCGAGGGGCTGGAGCGGGCGGGSGACGGCGACACCGCCGTGGCGGACACCCCGCCCGATGGGCAGTGCCCGCTCCAGCCCCTCCGCGGCGACCGCAGACACTACCTGCCGCTCTGGAACAACGAGGATCCCTATGGAGACGTGTGGGTGCGGGACAAGCCCCCGGTGCAGGTGGATGTGGACGGTAGGCCCGGGGGAGGCGCGGGATGGTCGCCCTGAGGCGGCCCGGGGGAGGCGCGGGATGGTCGCCCTGAGGCGGCCCGGGGCACCCTCAGGGGAGGGTGAGGCGGCGCCGTTGTTTCTTTGGGCGAAGGGGCTGAGGGAGGGTCGGGAAGGCCTGTGAGAGGCAGCTGGGGGATTCAGCCGGGAGGAGAGGCGGCTCAGGGGCGATCTTATTGATGTCTGTAATCACCTGACAGGAGGTTGTAGCCAGGTAGCGGTCGGGCTKTTCTCCCAGGTAACCAGCGGCAGGACAAGGGCACATAGTCTTAAGTGMAGGTTTAGTTTGCACATYAGGAAGAATTCCTTCACAGAAAGGGTGATWAGACATTGTAACGGGCTGCCCAGGGAAGTGATGGAGTACTGTCCCTGGAGGTGTTTCAGGAAATAATGTGGTGCTCAGTGCCGTGGCCTGGCTGACAAGATGATGTTAGGATTGGACAAGCCAGATGATTTTGTGATTGCTTGTGCAGCAGGGCTGAGCTCCCTGGTGACCCTCCAGCTGTGTTGGGCCCCACTGCGAATGTGCCACCTGTGGCACAGTTCACCTGCTCCTGTGGGAAAAACCTCTTCCTTGGRAGGGTGGTGAGGCGCTGGCACAGGTTGMCCAGAGTTGCCAGATTGTGGATGGATGCGCCATCCCTGTCAGTGTTCAAGACCAGCTTSGATGGGGATCTGAGTAACCTGGCCTGGTGGAGCACATCCCTCCCATGGCAGAGTGTTCGAACTAGATGACCCCTTGGAGGTCAACCCCTTCCGTGATTCTCTTTTGGGAAAAAGTATACTGTGTGCAGATAGTACATAACAGGATTTATTGGTGAATTATRTCAGCAAATGAGCCTTTTAAAATGTTAGAAACATTAATAAAATACATGTGACATCCTGTTCTTCACTTTACTCYTGAAAACTTCAATGTTGAATCACGAATGCTTCTTTTTGGTCTTTTATTTTCCCCTCTCCTTAACCTTAGTCTCCAAACTGACTAATCTTGGTCATCTGGAAATGACGTGGAGAAGCAGAGTGCATTTCCCTCCACTTCTTGTGAGAATCCTGCACAAATCTAGACTAAGGTACTATGGAAAACCAGAGAAAAAAATGGATATGCCTTATCAGGTAAAGAAGGATGAATGCCTAGGTTAACACTCGAACAAATTGCTGTAGGATATTTGAAAACTGTTTTCCTATATAGTAAGCACATAAAGTTATTTTATAACTATTTTATAYGGAAAATGCTGCCTTTACTAAAACTAAAATCATTTTTGAATAGGAAATGCTGAATTTTGTGATCATAGGTATACAGACTTTGGTGGTGGTGTTTCAGTTACTATAGTTCAGTTGAGCTTTGTGAAAAAAGAGATATTTGACGGTTTTAGTTGTTCAACAGCCTAAACATTTCTGGTCTCTGTGCTTTGGAAGTTGGAGTTTATATGTCTTATCAAAAAAAAAAGCAATAAACTTCAATGATTTCTAGCCTTTGATTCTCTCATCCAGTTGACTTTCAGACAGATTATTTCACTGTAAAATTACTAACAGTTTTTTCTAATGTACTTAAYTTGTGGTATTTTTGCATTGAACTTAATGAAAAGGCATCTGGAGTTGCGGTGGGTTGGTTTGAAAACTCTTTTACTGCTCAGTGATCTGCTCAGTTACACATTCAGCATTTGCCCAGTTTAAAAATTGGGGATTTTTTCTACTCTAATATTCAATACAAGTCCTGGAAAATCCCCTATATCCATTTGTGATTGTCAGAGAAATAGTTCATGAGGGAAGTACCGGCTGCATTATCCAAAATAAATACATACTATAATGATAATAAATGAAAGATGACTGTAYATTGTCTTTTTTTTTTTCTTCAGGCTTACTTTGAAGTTGCCGATGGTTCAGGAATGATGTCAATGGTTTTGTGGAATTCACTGTGTCCTGAATGGTATCACACTATGAAAGTTGGCAGTGTCCTTCTGCTGGAAAAGTATGCCATCAAAACCAGTTTCCCGTTTAAAACACACCCAACCCCAGGCGATTCACAGATGAAGAAATTTGCTACAATTGGTTAGTATTGCAGAAACCTATTTTGGATTAATAAAATACAGTGCAAAGGTAGTTCTTCATAGAAATAAAATAGAAAGTGATCCATTGCTGAGACTGATAATGTATAAATCCTTAATTAGTACCTCTAAAAGGTGTCTGAGCATCCAGGTTCTTACTGTTTCCTGTTTGTATTTGAATCGTGTACAAATTTATTGTTGTAATTCGTTAAAACCTTTATTTTAAAAATAAAAAAAGGAATCCCTGTCAGGAACTGGGATTATAAAGATAGGTCTCTGGTACTGAACTTTAATCTGATTCTGCTTCCTGCTTAATACACATATCACTTGTGCACTGCTAAATACCTCCTGCCAGGTAGGTGGAACTGAAGGACATTATCACCTACCTGACTTTAGATTTTAGTGTGTATTGTCAAGGCCCAGAACATCTGCACAGGTCTATGGAGCAAAAAGTTTAATTGATGATTTCTGTGTGCTGAAAGAGCACCACCATAGGAGTGTGTGTATGAAGAATATTCATTGGCTGTGAAAAAACATTTTCTTGTAGTTGGTTAGTGTGGTAGATACTCAAAGGAGCTATACTACAAAAATATAAGTCCTGTAATGTAACAGTACTGGCCTTTTCAAACTGGATTTGATCTGCTTTTTGAGATTTTTCTCTCCTACTTCACTGAAAATGAACTTTTACCCATTTTGTGCCAGGATGCAGAAGCCAAAAATGGGCAAATGGTTGGTTTTGGCAGAAGCCAAAAGAATAATCTTAAGTAAAGGGTCTGACTTCAAGTGTAACACCTTCCTAATTTTACAGTGCCAGGGTGAGGGGCCAGATATAATTATATATACAGTTGTACACAGTATTTTTACCCATTTAACTACATTTCTGGGTGCATTATTTGAATACTTCCTTACTCAAACCCAAGAAATGTCATCAGAATCTCTTTTTTATATCAGCAAGGTTTGTCCTGTTACAAGACTTCAGAGTACTTCCATGTGTATTCTAGTAGCTGAAGCCATTCTCCCTGTATTTTTTAATCTGGTTGAAGAACACCTTTCTTGCCCCATTGCTCCACCATGTTTGTAATTCAACATTTAAACAGTCCGGTCAGTAAATATTTCAGGTGCTATAGAATAGGTATAGACCTTTTGTTCTCCGCCATGGCCATGATGTATTTCTGTCATATTAATAATAGTGTGAACTGGCTCTTCAAATATGGAAATTCTCATGTGCTAGTTCTGTTTTACTACATTGTCTGCACATCAGTTTCTGACCTTACTGACATTTGACATTAACATTGATATAAAAAGTACTTCTTGTCTAATCCACATGGTGGGATTAGTTTCTGTTAAAATATCTGTCTGGGCTGGACTAGTTGGCTCATGTAGGGAACTGGAAAGTTTAACATTACTCAGATGATAAAATGTCTTTGTTGAACGCTGTACCTGAATTCCTGACTTTATAGTGATGAAAACATAGAGAAATTGATTAATAATTTCACAAATTGAAAGTTGCAATACTTAAGAAATTTTACCCTAGTTTCTTTATGAGATGATGGTGATGATGATTTGTATTCATGCCTTAATATGTTACTTTCTTTACTTTGTCAGAAATTAGCCTTAATGGTCGAGATCCTCCTACTGAAATAAGTATTATTCCAGAAGACATGGTCAAGCCAGAGTGGGGATTACCTGAAGTTAAATATCGGTTTATCWCAAGGTAAAATAGAATTTTGTTGGTTATCAAGCTGGAACTTAACTTACATTACCTTACAGTGAATATTAATTGGAAATGCTTTTTCTGCACAGTTTCTGAGAAAGCTTACACAGCTTTTTCTTCTATTTTGGTTTTAGGTCAGAACTGGAAGACTTACCAAACAATCATACCTGTGATGTTATTGGTCTTGTGACATTTGTAGGAAGGGCTGAACGAGCCAGAAAAAGAGGTTTTTCTATGACTATGATTTTCAGAATTTATCAAGGAATTTTTAAATTTTTAAACAAATACTTATACATTTTTCTTAATGTTTTTTTTATACAGAGCAAGGTGAAGACTTCTGGCTCTATCGTTGGGCACATGCCATTGATGGGACCTCAGAYCAACCATTCATACTGGAATTATTTGCAACTTCTCAACCAGATGTGTTTGAGCGTATTCACCCAAGTATTCATCTCTCTATAATACTTACTAATAATTATTTGTAGTGTTTTTTTAGTTTGTTGCYAATTCCAAATTCTGAGTAGAGTTGCACTGAATAAAAATTGCCACAATTTATCTCCTCAAGCAGAAGATAGTTGATCAGAAATTAAAATTTAAAAATGAAAAACRGTTTAAATATTTGAAACCCTTACAAATTACAGTCTGTCAGTTAGTGTAAACAATTAGATGGACAGCTGGGCCTGAGGCTCATCTGATCTTGCTCATTTCAGACAAAGTTAGGAAGCCCTGGGGTAGCATCTCTTGCATCAGAGGCAACTAAAGGCAGCAGCTGGTCAAATCACTTGCTCCTCTTGACCTGTAAATACCTGTTTTTKAATAGACAGGAATAATTTAAGAGGGTTGAATGAAGGGAGAGGTGAAAGTGGAAAAGCTTCATTTCTTCGTACCAGTATTTTTTGCCCAAACAGCAGTCATCACCCAGCTGTGTTAATTATCATACATGAGCTAAGAATAATAAATTCCAAACTAGGGAATCCTTAATGAAGGATTTTAAAAGAGTTTTAAATATTTCTTCTTGCTGTCCTTCTCTTCTCCAAGCACTCATCCTTCCTTTAACACTGGTTGGTGTCGATATGCATATTTTATATCATATGGTGCAGAACCAGCTATACAACCCTGCTAAGATTATGRCTGCATTCATCCTGAGTGTTCTGGGGAAGTGGCAAAGAATGACATTCCAGTGTTTAACTGAGATATTAACAAAAGAGTGAGTTTGTACTCTGTTCAACATTTTGCAGTGGCATGCCATGATTTCTTGTGATTTTATACTTTTTATCCTTAAGAAACACAGCCATCTAATACCAATATTTTTGTTACTTGTTTCAATGATATCCTACCTGATGAGGTATCTCATGATTTAGTTCTGACATCTATGCTGAAATTAAATTGAAGATTTAATTAYATCTCCATATGGTAATTCATAATGGAGACTCAAAACATGCTGAAGCATTTGTAGGTCAAGAACTAAATTGTCTTGTTTAGAGCACCTAATAAAGTTAATCCAGTGTGTRTCAGTCTTGCCATGCTAAAATTAATGAACCATCCGGAAAAAAAAAAAACCAAAGGTTTTGTTTTTTTTCTCCAGTGACATACTTGGTGTGTACACAAATGAGAGTGATCCGGAACCTCACTGAAAATCCTTCCCGGACAATTTACCTTACGACTTCAAATGAAAGTCAAATATTTATCACAGGTAACTTAAACTAGTTCCAGTTTTATGTAATTATCATGTTATTTCTTTGGAAAGTGTRTTTTCATTTAACAGCACAATAATCATGCAGACTATGAGGTTATAATGAAGCACCATTGCAAAAAGGAAAAAGGCAAATGGCATTCTTGTGAGGCATTAAAATGAATTTATCTCATAGAAAGTATTACTAGGTTAAGACATATTTACCAAGTCTTTTAGACTCTTAGTCCTTTGTTCRGGTAGCAATGTAGATTACCACTTACTTAAAACATTAAAAAACACTGACAACTTTCCTATTCTAGGTGCTTTTTTATTAGTTCTGTTACTTAGCTAATTTGTCTGACTTTCAGTGTCAAATGCAACTGTAGTCAAGGAATTCAAGGTACTAATTTTGTAAAGCACTGTTGATGAAAGATGTCTTTTGTACTCTAGTCAAGATTTTCTTAATTGTTTTTTTCTATGTAGTGTTCAGGGGAGTTTGAAAATGGGAACAGATTTCAGTCACTTGCTTTGGTTTTGGTACCCTGATTATTTTTGTTTTAAAAGGGTGGCACAAGGGCCAGCCATACGCCAAGGATGACAAAGTGAAAAACTTCATTCAGTGGACGAAATCACAAAGTGAATCTGATCAAATAAAGAAAACTGTCATCGGTGGCTATTACCCTTTTCCACGACCTCCTGAGAGCTTTTTGAAATATTGTAAAAACAATGAAGGTATCATATATCAAATACCTGTAATATTTGTGGCCTACTTCCATCAGTCTTACTCCAAGAAGGGCTCCCTTTTGTGACTGAATTTTTCGTTGGCAAAATCCTCATCTTAGAGAAAGTATCGCACCATTAGCTGCAGAATTGTAGAAGCTTACATGARATTAGAGATATACCCACAAGCTTTACTTTGAATATTCTACCAAATCAAAAATGAAAAGTTATTCTGCAGGATAGATTGAGTTGGAAATTTCACCAGAAGCAGAAATTTTGATAYATGATAATGCATACTAATGGTTGTTTATGAGCTAAAAAGGCTTGTTATTTTAATTACTTTTTCCGTGTGATGTGGGTAACAGAAAGGTTTAGAATTCTATAAAAGTATGAGTTTAAATCAATTTAATACTTAGTAAAAAATTATCTTTTTTTTAGCCTTGTGTTCAGACATTTTGGCATTATATTTCTCTAAAACTWGGTTCTGGAAATTTCTGTTTTGCAGCTGAATCAGTTTTGAAACCCATAGGTGAAATAGGGAAAGAGATTGAAGACCTGCACTACAGAGAGCACAAGCAAATTGCTGTTCAGGGGATAATTAGTGCCATAAGATACAAAAGCTGGAGCAATGCAGCTGAAGAAGCCTCAGGAGGGGAACTTCTCCAGGTACAGTGTGTGAGAGTTAATGCCATAGCACTTAAGCAGGTAYGCTTGTAATTAGAATGGAGCATTTTGCATGTGAGTTCAGAAACTTAATTGTCCTTTAATTTGATTTTTGAGACCGAAATTTTTTAAAGTAATGATTCAGCACTTTCTGRAAGTATTTGGCAATTCTCTGTAAAACTTAACAACTGTTTAAAAGTTAGTAGTTTGATGGATAGACTAATGCARACTGGAGTGTGGGAGAGGCGACAACTGCAGCATGTTCACTGTCACTTTCTAGACAGAATTTACCTCATGATTAGAACATAATTTCTGCTATATATAAGGTAATTGTCAGAAACTTGCAAGTTTTTGAGTTGGAGGCAATACCTTTAAGTACATTGAAAGTCTTAATTATCTATTGTTGCAGAAAGATAATTCTCAGTCTCTTGGGAGTTCTTCTGTATCCAAAGAAGACTGCGTTGACAAGGAAAGTTCTGTGTCCAAAGAAAACTGTGTTGACAAGGGAAAAAATGAAGACGTTAAGTCTTTTCTGGGGCTACCCTGCACTCTTGGGGAACATCAGCGCCAAGCTCAGCGGTCAAAGGGGAGTTCAGTCAARAGGAAGACACGGCGCAGATTCAGTAGAGATGCAGAACAGTAAGATCTCTTTATAAATATGTGGTAGATCTTCTAAAATGTCTTTTTAGAAATTAAGCCAGAGCCCAGACTGTAGAAAATACATTAGAAAGCTTTAAAAGCCTATATAGTTTGATCTTTAAAATGTATTATGTACTTTTCCTAGTATCAGGTGATGACAATTACACCATTCATGCTAATGAAGGATTGATTAAAGTAGGTTTGCAGTGCTCTCTTCTGATTAATATTTATAGTACTTTGTTATTAAGCTCACAGATCTGAAATGAAAGTAGTTAATACTTGAATCAAATGTAGTTTAGTGACATAGCTAAACAAACAACAATTAAAGTGGTGTGAGGAAATCAGATTCCTTGACTGGAAATGCAGAATCAGGTATACCTGTTCCTTAATTTCAAACACAGCTTATTTTTTATTTCTGGGTAATGGGATGTACTGCATGTGGCTGTAATATGAAAGTAGATGGTGGTCATGTGCTAASCTAAAGGCTCGAAATAACTTATAATTTGTCTGATACAACTGTATTAGATTCAAAAGTAAAATAACTGCTTGCATAAGGTTGCCTTTTGTTTTAACATCTGTGTAAAATGTCAGTATGCCCATACTGACTGTTGAGAGCCTGGTGTATACACTGACGGAATGCTGCAAAAGTCAGACAATCACATCTGYGTTTTTTCAAATCAAATCTGCAGTGGATTTCTCATGCTCTAAAGGGTGTATTTTTCATCTTGACTTTTCACTTCCATAAGTCATAATGTGTGAAGAGGGTGGATATTCAGAATATTTTGAGGGAAAATGAAATGAAATATAGTTATAAAATTATGAATGAAAATGAATGAAAATTTAGTATTAAGAAAATCCTAGTGAATAGAAGTTCTGTCTTGGCAGTGTTATAGCAAAATTAGTGGATTCTGTTCCATATGAAAATTTTCAGTATTWGAATGCCTTGGTTTAGTTCTTCCTGAAAGGAAAATGTGAATGTGCCTTGCTTTGTGAATTTCCATTTAAATAAATACTGAAAAATAATGGTGAATTTCCTACATTAAGGGGAAGTGCATCTATTRGTCCTGTATCGTCTTGCCCCTATTTTACACGGACTGTAAGAAGAAAACTTGGGTAAGTCATGTGAAATTGATTTTGTTGAATAATTGCAATAATGAAACAAAAATATTTGAAGTATAAGTTTTACAGATAAGGAATCTGCATGGAATTGAAATGAAAGAATAGATCAGGGTAGAGTTTAATATTTTCTGTTCAGTTGTCTACCCTGACTAAATATATCTGAAATGTAATTTTGTGTGTTATTAAACATATTGCTACCTGTACTACTAAGGAAATACATAGTTACAGAGGTTCATCATGGTATTGAATGGATTTGATAGTGGTGGCTGAGATACACATTTTTCTTGATGAAAGTACAGTTGTCGCTGGGAAGCCCCTCCCCTGCCTTCTTTCACTCCCATCCTTCGGTTGTTACTTAGCTCAGTTTAGATCCAGAGGAAGTGGGGTTTTTTTGAAGTCCAGATAGGAATTTCAGATCCAGAGCCCTGTCAAATCTGGAACYGACTGAAATATCTACAAAAGTGAAATTATTAAGAAAACTGAATCAGTGGGGTTTTTGTTAGTCTCCGGCGAAAAGTTACTTTCCTTTGTGCATTTTGTTTAAGGGCCATACATTGTTGTCACTTGTTCCAGGCAGAATATGAGCAACTTGAATGTTTGAACTCCTTGGTGTCAGTAAGTTAGGATGTTTGTGTATTTTGGAARTGATCTGGGTTTGTGTCATGAGTACGTATACAGCTCAGTTGCCTTTTTAGTTTACTATTAGCACCTCTTCTTTTTCCCCCTTAAAATGAAGAATCATGGTGTTAGGAATAGGGCGACAGTGGTAATGGGGGAGTTGATTGAAGTCATACAGTTCTGCCAGTCTTGTCCCTTTACAGGCATGCCTATTTTCTTGAAAAACATTTATTGGAAGCTAATTTGTGACAGCTTTTTCTGTGGGATAAATAATGCTGTTTTGAATCCATGCGTCTGCTAGTTCCTGTTGGTAAAAAACTGCATTTTCTAGGAGAAATGGTTACCTGATTTTGCAGCTGGTTTGTTAAAATCGTTACCTGGCTTTAAGGTCACAGTTCTGCAGGTGGTGCAGGAGTTTGCAGGGACTTGTGGCACAAATCCATAGGAAAATCAGGAGATTTTCCTTGATTATAAGGAATCCTGCTTTCTTTTGCTTGCTGAGAAATGTTCCACTTTTTCCTGGGGGGAGGGRGTGTGGGAAGAATGTCTTCTCCCCATTTCTTATAGGTGAAGCCAGAAGTTAAGGCATGTTTACTTTGTTCTCTGCTTTTCTCAATCTGCTACTCTCCTCGCTACCTGTGTGTCCACTCTATGCCATTAGTGCTAGAACCCCAGCTAAAGGAGGAGAAAGTCTGTGTTGGATAATGGAAAGCTGTTTCACTCTATATAATTAAAAGGTAACTCGTGTATTTCTGTAACTAATATAGAGTTGTGCTGAATTCTCCAAATTGCCAAAAAAAAAGGAAGTTAGATAACATACCTTAAAATTGCAGGTTGTTTTTGTTCTGTTGCTTAGATGTAGCAGAATGTCCGCTCTCATTGAAATATTTTAATATGGTGATGAAACAACAACAGTAATTTTAACAAACATAACAGTTCTCACAGAATACTCTGAGTTGGAAGGGGCCCACAAGGATCATTGAGTCCTACAGTCAAGATATATTTTAAAGTACATAACTTAAACTATTCTGCATAACATTTTTTTGTATGTTATTTTCAGCATTTTGGGGGTTTTCAAGCAGTAAGATCTTATTTTGAGGCTTTTTTATTGACAGCTGCAATTTCTGCATTTGAGGTAACTCACGTGATTATTAAGGGTTTCAGAGAGAACAAGGAAACTGGGTAATTTAGTATTACTGTTGATATTTATATCCTTGCTAGTGAAGATCTTTCACATAATGACACTTTTAAGCATTTAATATACTCGACAGTTGTTTAATTTATAGAAAATGAAGTGATTGTGACAGATCATGAATTTCAGAAAGGATTATTTTTATGTGGAAGTGAAAAAAAAAGCACAGTAATGTTTCTGGAATTTTAATCTTTGTAAATTTAGCATGTTACCATGGAGTTGCTGCTGCACTACATGCTCCCACTCCATAGTGCTTGAAAATKACTTGTTTGCATGCTTCTGTCCTTCTGTATTTTTTTTTCCACGTGGACMCTTTTCCCCTTTTYCCTTCCCATGGATATGAGAGCTAGGGGATGGAACTSTATAATACGAGGAAATTCAGCTTGAGGTTTGCATGACTGAAAATGTCACAGAATGTGATGTTTCCTTCACATCCCTTCTTCGCATTAATCAGAATTGTGCGTGAGAAATCAGTGGATACCAAAAATCAATTTGTGTAGATTTGTCAAGTTATCATAAAAGGCTGTCTGGTCTCTCTTGTTACTTGCTGTGGTAGATGTGTTTACCATAATGGTGTCAGAACAGTTAGTTCATTTCAAACCAATCTGCAAAATAAGTTTTGCCAGTTTATCAGTGAGTGGGATGTTTTGTTATGTTGTTTTGAGGCACTTTACTTCCTTGCAGTTTTGGGCATAGCTGTGAGTTTTAACTATTTTCTTTCGATTTCATTTATCACATTTAGCCCCAGTGCTTCAGAAATAGGTGTGAAGCATGAGACACGCTTATGTTCCCAATAGTTCCTGAAAATACTGATCTGCCATCTGTTTTGATTGATGTTATTTTTGATGGCAGTACTTCAAAGTAAAATTACTGAAAAGTTGAATACCAGTGGATCTGAAAATAGTGAATAAAGGCTTTTTTCCAAGTGGGCACCTGTGAAAAGGAGTGTGTGCGGGATTCAGGCTGGGAACAGCAAATTTGGCAGGGCACACATACTCGTAAAGCTGGCTTGGGCCAAATAGGCTGGGGGTGTTTTGGTGCACAACRGCAGGAGCAAATTGCAGTAAATGGAAGGATTTAGATGGCCTCAGGTGCATTGCAGACATAGTGGCTGGCAAAGAAGCACAKGGACTGTGTGTACAGACAAGTAGTTTTCCCTTACAAGCCTAGCTCAAGTTAGGCTGTTCACACATCCASCACAAAGCAGGCCTGTAGGAATAACATGTTGGGCAGGTAGAAGTTATCCAAGCTACAGATCTGTGGAAGAAGGGGGAAAATCATGACAAGTTTTTCCATATTTTCCTGAGACTCTACTTGCTTTAAATCAGAGCCTGTTCCCTTCCAAAACTAGACAATTTTAAAAGAAAAAAAAACATGATATTCACTTTCCATGATTTCCACTTGTCTACAATATGACTTGGTTTAATCCTCTGCTTTAATGAAGACAGAAGTTGGTGTGTACGTCACTTGACAGGCCGSTTTGTGCAAGCCTTTCTTAACACTGTGCTGGAGTTTCATGTTATGTTTGACAGATCCATMTCTCAAAAGTGAAAATTAATTTTGTGGGCAGTAATTGTACAGGTTGTACTGCTTARGTGAGGATACTTTTGAGCCTAGATTTGGACATGACAAGGAGGTCACTTCAGTGGTGATATCCATGATGGTAGTGCATTTCATAAAACATACTTTCATGCTCAAAACCCACAGTGTATTTCCTTTTATCTTTTCACTAGATACTATTTTTATGTTTTCCATTTGTTACAAAATGCTGACATGATTTTTTTTTAGATATACCCTAGTATGAAATAGGAAAAATTGAAAAAAGTCTGCAAATCTTTATGAAATACAGAATGGGCCACTAAACAACATGTCTATGTCTGATTCCTTTTTTTCAAGATAGTCCTTACCCTAAATTTTTTCAGACAACATGGCGAGTTTTATTCTAATRAGAGGAAGGGATCAAAGAAGAAAGGAATAAATGGGCCTAAGGCTATGTTTAGTTGCAGAGTGCCTCTTATGTTTTTCTCCTGCARAATAGTAGGTAATTTATTAGAGATTGATAAAGAATAGTTTCCTATCATTAATTCAAAACTTYATGGTTTAAAAAAGTATAACAAATATCTAGTTTGCTTCATTGAACTGATCGTTACAGCAAGGCAGTATGTCCACAGGAAAATACAGATTTCTGTCATTTTGGATTCTGGAGTGCTGATATGGTTCCATTCATGCTGTGTTTCTGAGTGCTGGAGGTGAGGATAGGACAGTGTAGCCGCATGCTGAGCACCAGCTTTTTGCAGTCGAGTCACCTGTCGGTCCCCTGTGCTGTTCGGTGGTGTCACACGTGGTATTTCCGGCAGGTGCTGGTAGAGGGCAGCAGACACCGGGCTGTGAGTGTAAAATGCTTCCCCATCCACTTCCCGGAGCCAGAAATCCGGCAGGGCTTGCCCTAAGCTCTGCTGAGCTGATTTACTGTGCACAGTAGGCATCATTGTGTCAGGCTACTGTGCACAACTCATGATAMAGAATCAGCTCGTTCACTCAAGTCTGTGTCATTTATCACTAGAAATCTGTTTTTTGGTGTGTAGAGTTTGGCATTAAATAGGTTTAAAATACATAAATATATATGTATACACACTATAACTTTCTTTTTATAGCTTGAATGAATATGAGCATGGACATTCTGTGCAAGATGAAAATGGACAGTCTGTGTCAGACAGTTTGCAGTACTGCACAGGTATGTTGCAAATAATTGTTAAATTAACCTTAGGAGGCTTAAGATTACTTCTTTTCTTCAGGTCCAAACCAGGCAGCAAAGTTATCTTTATAGTCTTTGTTAAGACTGTTCCTCTGTACATTTGGCTGCATCAGCCTCTTGGGAACCACTGTAGCAGTGTATCATCAATGTCAGTCTGCTCAGTTGTCCCTGCTGTTCTAAGCAATGGCTGAAAGGACAGCACTGGATTGTTTCCCAGTATGGGCAATAAATTCTCAGTGTATCTTTATACCTAAGTGCTCAGAAGCACTTTATGGCATAAGATATTACATTTTTATGTAATATACATTTTCTTTTTGGCCTTTTTAGTTTCTGCCGTGTCTTCAAAATTGGAATGTTCTAATGAAAATTAATTCTTATTTAACAAAGGGGTGATACAATTATATAAGCATATATGTAACTAAATGTTTTTTGTGATTATAATAGACCAAGAAGGAGTGAGTGATACACCTGAAACTGAAGAGACTGGAAGAACTTGTGATTCCTGGCAGAGTGATCTGTGGGCACAAGTGAAAGACAAGTTAATTAATTATTTGCATCACAGCAAAATTTTCCCAGAAAGCATCCCATGTAAATTTGACTATGTTCACAAAGACTTTCTGTTGCAACAGTACAACCTTCTTGCAGCAGTGCACCAGCCAATAGAAGCCAGGACAGCTAAAAACATCAGTGAGTTTAAAAGAGCTCATGGCCTTGGGTATTATGAAGTGACAGTTCTGGGTAAGTAGCTTGCCTTGTGAAAAAGGTTAAACAAGAGCAATGTAAGTTCATCAGAAACCAAATGGGTTTCTCTAAAGGAATCAGTTGATTCTGAGTATTTCCTGAGGTTTGAGAAATTGTTGTAGGTTTTTGTTATAGAGTCGTTATTTAAGATAATTTTTTTACTAGAAAGCTGTACTCTTGTTAAAAATACCTTYCAATGAAATGCCTGAATATCTTGTTTCTACTATCACTTTTCATGTAATTTCAGGTTTTTTGTAAAGTTCTATGTGTATTATTTGAAGAATGTGTGTAGTTCTTAAGCTGTTGATTGTTTCAGTTAGAAGTAAGTCTTGTTATTTCAACTTGACATAATCAGGCAAATTATTCAATTGCACTTGTCAGCTGACTGCCTGCTGGAGAGGTGTTTATCAAAAACAACTTAGTGTTCTTTAAAAGAAAAARACAGCTATAAATGCTTCTTTTCAGCATTGTTTTCATTGAGTTATTTTCATACTGTTGCTCCTAAAGTGCCTTCCTTCCATGCTGCAAAATGAAGGGTTGTATTTTTGCCATACTCATTAACAGCTCCCTGCTGCTTCTGGTAATACAAAGTGACAGTTGATTGATCTTTATTTATTAAAATATAAATATGCATGTTGATGTGTATCAACTTGACAGCTTTATTGAGGGTTATTAATCTGTTTGATTTTGTTTTCCCATTAAAAGGAGACAGAAATTACCTTGCTTAACAATGSTCATGTTAAGTTACCATAATTTTAAAGTTTCCATTATTTGCCAAGGGACATTTGCAGAGGTGKTTGAATATTTACAATCACTAGAATCCTGGGACTGACAATATGTCAGTATGTCAGAATGAAAGTAGCACTGCACAAAGTAGTTAATGGGCTGAATATGAAGCTTTCTGCTAAYGTAATTTTTTTTTCAACAGGTGTTAACCATGACATAGCAATAGATGTTGCTTTTCTTCCACTGTTTTGCCCCGACAATCCCCACTTATTTCAGCTAGAAGACATTCAGAATGATACATTATTGTCTTGTATGAGTTGCATCTCTGCATGTCAGCAGAAGGCCACTAGCAGTGAGAAGCTTCATGACACATTTCCTCTTTCAGGTGAGACTGCTGGTGTTATTCATTTATCGTTTCTTGGTTTATCTTTCAGTGCAAAAATTAATCCTCGATAGAAATCTTTGGTGTAGGTCAGACATGGTTCACCTCTTCAGTGAAAGAGATGTGAATTCTATTTCACCACCTTTAGTAAATTGATGAACTGAACTTTCAAGGCAGTTTTTGCTGGAGCTGTTCTCTTCCTCTGAAGACAATATTTTAAAATCCAAACCACAAACTCTTATCTAATTCTGATGCTGTCATTTCTAGTGAYGGAATTTACTAATTTTTTCACTGAAAGAAAATTGAACATAGACACATTATATGGAAAATATTATCAATTCTGTACACCTTTTTATTGTATACAGAGTATAAAGTAAATACATTTTAAAACCACCTTTTCTTAACTTCTAGATGAAATTSTAAAAGCAGCAAAGGACCTTGATGGCAAACATGTTGTCTGCATCTTGGACATCTGTCACTTGGGTGATGATAAGGTGGAAGTCTTTCTGAGCAAAATCTACAAGACAATGGAACCGGGTGTGCTGGATCCAGTGTAACTTAATAACTTATTTTCAAATATATATTGTTCAAAAGAAGGGAAGTAAAACTGCTGTAACTTGAATACACCCACTACACAATGCACTTTTCTAGAACTAGCAGACACAAATATAAAGTCATGATTGTTGGGACAGTTGTAATGGTCATCCCGGTAACTGGGAAGGACAATTGTTGCCTTTATTTTTCGATCTTGAAACAGTTTAGACAATGTCCAGGGCACTTATGTTGAAGGGAGCAATAGGCAGTACAGTGAGCTGATCATTTGCCAGCTTTACCAAGGAGTTAAAGTGGTTGTCAGCTGTCTTTCTTTGCCTGTGCACATACATACACAAGAAATGTATATATATGGGTGAGAACTGAGAAGAGAGGCAAGCCTTTGTAATATTTAAGGCAGTGTTTGCTAAAGAATTAACTGTCTGTAACATAAATTTAGGCTGGAAATGGGAATAATTTTGAGGATTAGAATTTTTATGTTCTGTAATGGTCTTTTTTAATGAAAKCTACCAAAAGCAGCCTAACTGCTCTTTAGCCTTGAAGCTTACTGTGAAAGGGATTAAATACCATGGTGCCTTTAGATCCAGGAATCCCCTTTCTTTTCACCTGAGCAAAATCAGATGCTGTGTTTTTTATATGTCTGCTTTTGTACATAGGATGTTAGGTAGTGAGTATAGCATCCAAACATTTTTAACTATTCATTATTAAGAGTAATGAAATATTTTTTAAAATAATTCTTTTTTATTGGAACTTCCTTCTAGCTTTGCAAGAGAAATCTGTCTTTAAGAAGTGCTAATTATGGCAGGATACACAGCTTGTCACACCATTTTTAGGTGTATTCTGAGTACATGAAGGAGTTCAGCAACTATGAGAAGCTGCTACTTCCACAACAGCAAAAGACTGGAGAATTCTGCCAACTTCTTGCCTGTACTAAGAAGCAACTGRCTCCTGCTGGTTCAGAGCCATGCAGCACATTTTTCTCCCATGTTAAATAGCTTCAGATCATTTAAAGAACTGGATTCTTACAAAATTATTTTCAAGCAGGAGCTCACTGCAATTTGACTGCTTGTCTATTTGAAATGCTCTCAATTCAATTCTTTGAGAAGAAAGAATTACGGAGACTTGCCAGGTAAATTGTACCATTATTGACCAAAGCCCCCAGAGTTAATTTATAGGAACAGATATATTCTTAGGCACATTTTAGCAGCATATTGATAATYGGAGATTATCTCTTTCAAATAGTAGTCTGCCCTGGGGACAGTGGACTTTGTTCTCAAGTACTTAAAGTCTGTGCCCTACCTTCAGTTAATGGTAAATTGACAGAGAAATGTAACTGATTTTGTTACTTASAAGTTCACAGGTGACTTCAGATAAAAGGTGATGAAATTAATAAAATTATTGTGTCTTTCTAGTGTAGTTTACAGTTTTAAAATATATTAAGAAAAATAGTTTAACTTAAATTGCACAAGGACTGAGAATAAATTGTGACTGTATTGTATCTGTCTATTTTATATGAACCAGAAGTATTAGTTCTGGAGCAATGTTTGTCAACTCGTGCCTTTCAGAGTACCCACAGAAGGAAATTTGAAAATGTACCGACCCAAGAAGAGCGGGGTGTTGCTTGCAGTGTTACTTTTGTCATTGTGCTGCTAGTGGGTATGTGAAGGTGAGAGGCCATTGCTCTGCAGAGAGACTCACACGGCCCTTCATGTTCCAGACTGAGCCATGCTGACTGTGTCAGCAGTGTTTTTTATTTACATATACTTCAGATCGAAGTCTAATTTTATTGAAAGCATTTTTCCTTTAAGCAATTTTTAAAGGAATTATCTTTGTACAAAGGACAGATGTGGCTGGCATTGCCACAGAGCCACCTTGTTGAGATAGTTCAGCCATCTCACTCCATCCCATGCCATAGAAATGCAGCAAAGGCTGTTTGTGGCATTGCACTGCTTAGTACACTTTAAACATATAGCATTAATCATTTCATCCTGTGTGTTAGGGATTTCCTAACTCTAAAAGAAATGTCAGAATTATGTGTAATGTAGATAATGTCTTTAAAACATTAAAGGATATAATTTTATTTTTTACAAATGTTTGAAATTTTTCATGGCAAAAGCTGGCAAGGAGAGAGATTTATTCTTGCAGAATGGGGTGCCAATGGTGGAAGCACAGGCTTTCTGTGTGTAGCTGGAGAATATCCATTGCCTACTGAATTTTATTTTCATTCCTGACTTGGAATTTTATTGCTCTGAATCAATGTGTAGAGTTACCATCCTGTGAAGTAACACTGAACTTAATACATGGAGTTCAGTGGCMGAAGTGCTGCAGTGTTACTGTGATTCCACCACTCTGCCTGTCTCCCTYCTTGCCATTCCAGCACTGTCCACCATTGCAGCAGAGGTCGTCTCTGCAAAGAAAGCACTTGCTTTTTTTTGTTTCATTTTGTTTCATTTTGGTGTTTATTAATGCAGGTGTAGAACCAGTGTATTTTTGATCTTGAGTCTGTCAAGACGTGTTAATTTTGTCATTTTAAGAGTCATTACTCCTGTAAAATGTCATAGGAACCAGCTTTCTTACTGCTGTGTATTGCTACTGCTGAGGGTGAAATACTATAAGACCACTTTCCTTAACTGTGGGAGGTATACCTGTCCAAAGAACAGTACTCTAAAACCTTGCATCTGCATATTTCTTGTGTTTTCAGCATTAATTTTAAAGCATGGAGGAAGGTAGAGCAGAGGTAGTTAGTGGTACTTTTCAATGAATAGAAGTTGTAAGTCATAGATCCTAAAGATAATGTTAATTTTGAATTAATGTGATGTAGAAGTTGTTTGATACTGAAGAGACCATGAATAAATTAATTCATATATGTAAACATCTTGGAATTGTTTCTTTCCATTTCTTCCTTTTTACTTCTTCAAAGTTGTTTCAGTTTTCCAAGGATCTTCTCCAGAGTCATGTTTACTCTTTCCAAGAAACTTTAAAGGAGAACTAGGCCGAGCTTCTGTCAACATCTGTGCCACCAATTGGAGCTTCTCTTAGCTTTCATTACCATGTGCAGCATGACTTCTACAGAGAAACAGGAAAAAGGGGGTATGTTCATCCCTTCACCCCTCTGTGCCCCAGAACCAGGGGCTGAGCAGGATAGGAACTGGTTCCCTGGCTGCTTCTCAGCTGAATGGGCTGGGAATGCTACAGCTGTGTGTGCCCTGGAGCTGCTGMCATCACAACCCTTCCCGGGCTGTCTCCATGATCCTGCAGGAAGGGAAGAGCTTGGAGATCTGCTCTGCACTAGTGACAAAGGCAGGGTGTTACATTTCCTCCAAAGGAAGGAACTCTGTACAGCAACTGAATCAGCTCCAGGCTGTGCAAACTACCCCTCTGTCCGCCAAGGAGAGACATCCACTGAAGCTGGTGTAAGTGATATCCACAAATCCTCATGGAGTGCCCTGCTTGCTGTGTCTGTTCACAGCTCTGGAGTTGTGTCAATAAAAGGAACATTACAGAACTTACACACCTCAAGAGGAGTTGGTCTACAGCTTCATCACTTGTATGAGCACAAGAGCATCCTGAGCCCTCCATCTTGCAGTGAAATATTTACGAGTGACTGAGGCACCTTGAGAGCACTCTGGGCAGGGCAAAGCTGCGAGTTGGAAAGGGGCTGAGGAGAAGCTGCCAGGGCTCTGCCTCCCTSCAGTCTCACCAGGCACTTGTACCGTATTAGGTAGAGAAATGAGACCAGAGGAAGAGTCTGGCTTGACAGACAGTTGAGAGTACAGGCTGTTTTGTCTGTGCTGTAATCTGTGGGCCCTATCTGGGTGAGTACTGATGATTTGTACTCGCCATGATGTTGCCCTTTCTGCCCTCCAGCCTTCTGACAGGGCTGAGGGCCAGAATGCAACAGCTCAACCCAGTCCTGATTAACAGGACAAAACAGACTGGAAGAGGGTCTGACTACACTACAGGCTAAAGGAAGATGAAATCCAGGCTCAAGACCAGATGGGAAAAATCAGAATGAGCTGCTGTGAAAGTTGGTGCAATCAATTTTTCTTCTRTTTTAGTCTTTTCAAAAAGGATTATCTATAACCAGAGCAAATTAACAAGCAAATACATTCCAAGAGGCTGCAGAACAATGAAAAAAAGTGGATGTCTTCAGGTAGGCGGGGGCATTACTAATCCTCTAGTATGTAATAATCTAAACACTCATACGACCTGGAATGTGGGCAGTTTTTTAGGTCTGTGGAACACAGGAGRTTTTTAAAAACTGAAGACCATCTTGTCTTCAGAAAGGAATAATCCAAGAAATTACTGGTCCGTTTGTCCAATTTCTATCCCTAAAGWAACGCTGGAACAAAGTTAACAGGTTTTTTTTAATCCCTTCTTTCCGTTTTTACCACCACCAAGAACAACTTGTGCCAAACTGGTCTAGGTTCCCTTTCTGATAGGCCTAACGTATGATGCAACATCCTCCTAATCAGCTTGAGGAAATACACGTTAAGCACTGAGATAGTTATGCAGCTATCAAAAAAAAAGACAAAAATGCTCCTTAAGAGCACTTGCCCACTAAGCAGGACAGCAAATGCTGCTGCTTTGCAGGAATCTGTCAGAGTAGCAGCTTTGTTCAGCATTTGAAACCATTTTATCATCTGGAAGGATGACCCTCTCTGGATTAAACCCAAGGAGGAAKGGGTAGAAGGATGTTCAGTGACACAAGAGTATAAAAAGTTGCATCAGTTTTCCAAAKGGCACAGCAACACAAATGACAAAAATGCAGTCCCAATAAAATAGTGAAAAGCTGGAGAAAGTTCTCCTTGGGCTGGAGAAAGAGATTTTGCAGTGACAAGGGCCTGACAGGGCAGCAGTGTTACTGGAAAGATCAGAAAGCCATGAACTGAGGAGCAGCTCYGCAATAAGCTATTACCACAGAAAGYAGCAGCTATGATTTCTGGATGAAGATGGGGAAGAGAGGAATGAAAGACAAAAAAGGTAATTGTTCTGGTGGTTTGGGGATGATGCAGTCTGGCTTCAAGGGTACACTCTAAAAGACCAATAAATGATTCAGAAAACACAAGAGATGAGCTTTAAAGATTCAGGCTTTTTTTTTTCCCCTCAAAGCAGAAAAGAGCAGGGACAGAACTTGGCAGTGTGGTCAAAGGGCAAACAAGATTCTGGCAAGAGGAGGACAGAGGAAAGCACAACTTAATTTGCAGTAAAAATCGGGTCAGTTGTGGGGGAGTTTTTGAATTGAGGAGAAAACAGCAGTGAGACAAAACATTTGAGAGACTTTTTAGTAGAGGTTTTTTACAAGTTGGACAAATCACCAGGAGTGCTCTGTCCTCACCATTCAGCAGAAGCAAATGTGACGGGGTATCCTGATAACTCTTCCAGTCCTTTCTAAGCTTTAATAAATGGATGATCAATATAATTTTATATATAGATAATTAAAACTAAATAGCCATACCCTGAACAGCTTTTCCCTGCAGCTGATTTTGACATTTGAAGGACCATGCAGTTTCAGACCTTTTAAGAGTACCTTGCTGGCATTTTAGAAGTTTCCACTCTGACATTTTGTGTGAAGGAAGGAACCTAGTGAGGCTAAGAGGCTTTGAAGTACAGGAGGGAGAAAGGTTCTGACAAGCAAAACAAGTTAAAAAAAAAAAACCAAAACTGGATTTTGTTTCTCTTGCTACAACTAAGCAGGTGAAGAAGTGGCAATGACATAGCTAAGTGCCTTAMATACCCCTCAGTTCTGGTGTTTCAGAGCAGAGAACTTTGAGACAAATTGTTGATATAAATTTCAGTAGATYACTAGGAAAGTATGCCCACTACACCACCCAATTTTTTCCTACCATTGAGCACATATTTAGTTGGGGTTTTTTAACACAGAAGAAGTAGGGACTTTAAAAGTAGCCCTACTTTTAAAGCATTAGCTTAACTCCTGGTTCAAGCTCTGAATATTTGATCTAGCTTTGCAAATTTTGCCTGGGGTTCCAAAAAGCGACAGTGCCTGAGTTTAACAAAACATCTTTCTCACTAAACATTTAATCTCATCACGCACTTAGCCAAATAAACCACTATTTAATTTAGCAGTTTGAGCCAAACTAAATAGAGGGAAACTGATAAAACAAACTAAGAATGTGATTACTGGAAGCACTGGTTAACTGGAAAATATCTTTTTGTAGATGCCTTGTGCAAGAGACATCAAAATAATTACAGTATTAGCAAAAGCCAAACAAGAAGCAGAYACTATTACTAGAAAACATCAGCTGGTTTTCAGCTCTGTGGTGACAGCAGCAATTGTCTTTCTCCACTGAATTATTACCTTCAGAAAACTACTTGGCATTATTCAGAAAGTGGCCACAGGAAGAGTGTTTCAGTGATAAACACCACAAGGTTTCCAAGCAAAGAGAAAGGATTTCATTAACCTAACCAGCATAGCTGGAAAAAGAGATTGAAAAATAACAGCCCAAAAAAACCCCACAAGTCATCAAGAAGCTTTCAGGCTCTTACATGTTACAAACCTGAGGCAGTTTCCGGACCTGAGAGAAAGTTTCTCTCCCCTGTGCCACCCACCCAAACCCACATTGCTTTGCTGTGGTRACTGCGTGGATTTTGTTACATCAAGTGATCTAAGCCTTCTCCTGTCACCATGATTCAAGAGCTTGCAGCAAATTAATCCAAATAGAGCTTTTAATCTGGTTTTGCATTTGGGTTTTCAGTATTATCTAAAAGCTGCATTTCTACAGCTGGCAATGCAACGCATGGGCTTTGCACCTTTGAAACATTTTGCARATATGAATAAAACTCAGGTATCTGGGGATCATTTTGATGAACCTTCTGTAACYCAGCAGAACTTCTCCTCCCAGCCCCACCTTGCCTGTTCCTGAATCTGTAGATTTCAGCTGCTGCCCAAATATGGCACTTGGGTGAGAAGGGAGGGAGGGAGGTTTCTGCAAYGTCCTGACCCTACCTGGATTTCCACCCCCCTGTTCTTCCTTCAGTGAGTGGAAAACCGTCCAAAACAAAACATTCATTCTGTTCTCTTTTTTTTTTAGCAATTAAAAAAAATATATATACCATTTCCCTTCCAGGGGAAATTCTGAGTATTTGAAGTTCCAGCTCAGAACTAAGTTCATTGAATACTTTACAGTGAATGGAAATACCCAACCTGTGAATAGTTCTACCCAGTAAGCACTGAAACACTATTACTTACTTTCTCTAGGACTCCTTTAAAGTTGTTCAACTGTGTCGTGTCACTCCTTAATTGAAATAAATGAACAAAAAAGACRGACATTAATTGTTCCATTTTTCTAGGATGCCAAACACAGTTAAAATTATTTAAGAGAATGCATTGCAATAGGAAAAGGTCACTTATGAGGAGTGRTTAAATTCACTGTTAATCATTATTATCACCAAAACTGTAGAACTGTGAAAGAGAAATCCAAAAGCTTTGCTTTTTGATGTCATGGTTTGTATCTTAATTTTAAATTATCTGCTCACTGAACTGAAGTTAGATGTTTTATTAAGTGTCTACAGCATTAAAAAAGCATGCCAATGTCAGAAAGTAGAGTGGCCTTGAGGACAGAGAGGGTGAGGGCCCAAACCTTGTGCTCGGCTCCATCTCTGTCTCACTACCTCAGCCAAAACACACAGCCACTGAGTGTGGGCCAAGTTCACTCTTGAAAGGGAAGAGAGCAAAGCAACTCAGCTCTTCTTTTGGTTCTGCATGCCTCAAACATAGTTTCTCGTCAAAAACTTTGGCCTCAGTTTAATCTCTTCAACCCAAGAACAAAATGCCATGCCATTACACTGAAAAACATTCAATCATATTTATTCACTCTTTGAACAAATTTACAGATCAAGTAAATGCAATGAAGAAAAAAAAAGATGATAGCAAAATGTGGATAATTTCAAGCTAGGAAACCTCTTACCTTACACAAACATGATAAAGGTGAAAATACATTCAGACACTTGCTTTACAGGCTCAAGAAATGAATCCATTAGGAAGTGTGTCAACTATGGTCATTCAAAACCTTTCGATATATTGATTTAAACCACCTTTTGCATTTAAATCTTCCTTTTGACCTTGTTTTTTTCCCCACTCTTCTACCTTAACAAATTTGTTAAGGGGTTTTTTTGCTGKTTTTTTTTTTTAAAGCAAATAAATGTTGCGTTTATTACGGACACCAGCACAAAAGTCAGGAAAATTTAGGGCWAAGTACTGATTTTCCTAGATTGCACTGTTGAAAGCCACAAAACCTTACATTACACGGTTATGCTTACCTATCTTGAAAACATTTCTGTTTGTCTAGTGGTCTGCGTTGAACAACGTTCTAGATGAGGTAGATTGAAGAAATATTTGTCACTATAATAACATAAATTTGCAGGGCAGAGGATATGAAGTYGGCACAGGAATTTAATTGCTCTTTCCCTCATGCTATTCCTTTATCTCTGGAATTTCAGATAGTTCTACTAGCTGACTTTGTATAAACTTGAGTTTTATCTCACTGAAATCCCTGAGGCTTTGTTTTCATTTTATCCATTTAATTTTATCTGTTTTTTATTTATTCATTTTTATAATGTTGGGGGCTTTTTAGCCTGATTATAGCTAAAAGATAAATGCTAATTGGGGGTCTGCTAGTTCTGCTACATTTCTCTTCCCCTTTCTACCATTTCTACCATTAAAAAAGGTGGATAAGAAACATGGAAAAAGCTGTATTTGAGAGGCTCAGTGGGGACTGGGGAAATAATTGGATTTCTTGATAAGGAGGGACTACATAAGTGCATAAAGGATGCACATTCGTATCTTAAAAGCATGTGGCACTTGTTCTACTACTTACAGAACAGTATGTCCTAAAAATTTAGCATTTAATTTCACATTTTTGACTGAATGGAGTATGAAGTCAGGAATGAATTGTAAAAGGTTAAGGACTATAATGTTTGCTCCTAGAAAACTTATCAGGAGATCACTTCCCAGTGATGGGACTATGTCCATGACTCGCAGGTCTGCCCTTAGCAGGAAGGAGCAAGAAATCCCTGAGCACTAACCTTAAAGGGTTTCCATGGATCCTCTTCTCCCCAATACCTTACCTTCTTCCTCCAGCACAATCAAGGTACCACTGTTACCACCCTTGCAGYACAGGATAGAAACGAATGTTCACAATTCAGAGCAGAAAAACGTCACAGTTGGGCCAGAAAACATCTGCTGARCTTTTCTGGGTAAAGCATGCTCAAAACAAAACCATCAAGGAATGAACAAAACAATGACAAAAAAAAMCCCTCGAACTGTTGAAGTAAAATATAGAAGAAAGTTTTTCTTTTAAATCACATCAGCACCTTGTTTTATATTGCGAAGTCCTAGAGGAGAAGCTCAAATCAGAGTCTCATCACTACAGAAAGAATAAAACTTATCCCTTAGATAACAGACCAAGGTTCTCATTGTCTTTCCCCCAAATCCATCAGCTTGGCAGTAAGGATGGGTCTAACAGCCTTTGAATTAGTTGGGTTTCAGTGGTTTAACTTCTGTTGATCAGTTGACCACAACTCCTAAGACTCATGTATCCACCCTGGTATTTTTGCTGGACAGACTGAGGTGGACTTAGCTTCTAAAAACCAGTTGTCTTCAGGCCAATATGGCCAAAGTAACATCACAGTCTGGTGAGACTTAATACAGTTATCTGCCACTGTACAGCACAAGTAAAAAGTTCTATTTCTCATTTTAAACAAAGTGTAAWTAACCCAAGAAGTCCATAAAGGCATCTGAGGACAGACAATCGACAGGATAACAAAACTAAGCCTTTTCAATGAATRTTCTGGATACCTGCTGGAAAGCAGAGAGGCTTTTCATACCCCTTTTCCAAGAAAGAAACACCTTCTTGTGTGGGATTTGACCAGGCCCCAGCTGATGCACATCAACCAGAAGCACAAGGTGGTCAGTCCATAAGGACTCTCAGAGAGAGCCCAGCTCAGACACAAACACACAAAGGGTCATCCACCAACACTCCACACCCTGCACCCCACCYGGCAGCAGCTCCAATGGGAGCACTAACAAACCATCAGCTGTAAACCAGCCTCATCTCACCTGCTGCACAGAGCCAAATACTTCAGGGAAGTCACAGTGCTTGCTCCAAAAAAGAAAAAAAAAAAACCCTGACAGTCTGGTGTGAGGCACAAACACAAGTGCAAGTGACAAGTAACAGAGCTGGCTGAAGCCAGGACAGGAAAGCCACACTGCAGTCACATGGAATTATGTACATGCTCTTCTCCACTGAGCTCAGATGAGTATTTCTGGCAGAGATGGAAGAAYGGCCACTCTTAGTGATGCATCTTCTGTGCACCAGGGAAGGGCTCAGTGAGGTCAGAGCCGGTSAAGGTCTCACAGTCCTCTTCACATCTACAGTCACCTGAGGTATGGGAGCAGGAATCAGCTTCCTCCTCTTGCACTGATAAAGCAGAGTCTACCTGTTTGCTTTTTCAGGATTAGTGCTCACTGAAGTTTCTGTGAAAGTTAAAGAATGAATTTCTTCTTCTATAATTAACCTGTTGTAAGTATTCATGGGATCATCCTTTGCAGAGCCCTGAAAGAGAGGAACAAGATTTTTATCAGTATTTCCTCGTGTGAACATCACTTTTCAGATCAGTGAGACAGACCCCTGTTCCACAACAAATATCCTGTATTATGGTGAAAAGCCAAAAAGGTAGCTGGGCAACAAATGGTGCTTTTCAGAGACATGGCTTAGGCCTGGCTGATGGAAGAGATCTCCCCTCGGGGGAAGAGGTGTCCCCTCTGTGGATGAGGAACTGAAGGTTGGTCCTCACACCTTAAGAGTGCTTCCAGCTACAGCCAAGGGTGAAACTCAGGCAGGAGGATGGAGAACTGAGCACGTACACACTTTGTAGAGCTTYCACTGAGCTCACAGAGAAAATTACTTGAGACAGTAACAGCACTTGTGAAAGCACAACAAAGTATAACAGCTACCACAGTTATGGTCCTCGTGGSCAAGAGTCACATCTTAGAGAACAACATTCACCACCTCATGTCAAGGATTGAATTAGGCTTGTTGGTGTACCTCCATTAGAATTTTTATAAAGGGCTACTGAGAGAGATTTATTTAAAAAGAAGTTTCCACAGTGGGTATTATTTACTGTCCCCAAAATAAGGCACCGTAGGAAGTCTTTCATCAACCAAAGCTTGAAACAACTATAGCTGGCTTTTTTCTTTTGCCAACAAGAAGCTAAATGTCTAATTTACTTCATAGCTAACTTATTATGATAAATAGGAGAGTGTAAAAAATGTGAAGTTTCTGGAATTCAAGCACAAATAGCTTCTTTCATTCGAAAATATGATAAAGTAGCAGAAAAAGACATGAGTGTKCATCAGAAATCACTTATTGGAGTTGCAAAAACAAATACCCTCAATCCAAAACCTACACGGCAAAAGAATCCTGGCAATTGGAAAACTGCCACCCAAAAAACCCAAACGTGAAACAAAATGAAGGAACTAGCAACCTGAAGTAGCAGAATAATGCAATGTACTAATTGAACTAGAAAAGTATGTGCAGTTCAGGGGGGGTTAAAAACATCTAAGTTTTGGGGAATTGTTTCTGAACAATTATTAATACTGTAAATACTTAATCTTCATATGTTATACTTACTTATCTACAGTTAATTATAAGGCAGACATAGGAAAAAGAAAATTGCAAGCCTAGAGACCCCAGTTCAATAGATTAGTTGGCCCAACAGCTTCTTACTAACCTGGGAGTCCTCGTTCTGCTCTCCAAACATGCGCTTAAGAATTTCTCTAGGGTCCGGAATAGGTGGAAGAATTAATATCTTCAGCCTTCATAAAGTTAAAAAGAAAATATTTAGATGGAAGATATATTAGTTTAAAAATCACCATTTCAATGTCATATTTGGGTGCAATCAAGAAAATCTATGAAGTCAGCTTTGTCATCACTGGCCAGTCTTCATTCTTTGTGCAACTGTACCTATTTCTTATTTTTACTTCCCAGAATAAAAGGAAAGGGGAACATTGAGCCAGATTCTAAATAATTTTCATTCTTGACAGAGACAGCTCAAATGTAGCGAGATCATTACTTACCTTTTTAGATAAACTAGTAGGATTATTGTAGATACTGCTACTATCAATGGAATGGTGATTATCAGAACCAAATAGACTGTAGAGTCCCTCTTCTCACCTGAAAAATAGAAATGGTATAAAATTAGAGACATTTTGAGAGGCTTTTTTAGAAATAATGACAAYAAATCAGTCAATTCTTCAATTTGTTCACAGACTCCATGCTTTTTCAGGTACGCTAGCACTTCTGTAGGCAAGGACAGGCTTGTTTGTCAAAAAGGATTAAAATGTGGATGTATTTGGCAAGAAAATGCAAGTGGGCAAGACTTGGGGCTGAAGAACCGGCCACACTGGGCATTGCACAGCTACACAAATGGAGCCACCACCAACACACACAGCAGCACAGGCTGGGACTGGTGTGGCTGCTGAAGGACTACAGCTCTCCTGCCCTCTTTGCACCCAAAATTAAATAGGTACATAAGAAGATGATCTTTCACTCTCATTTATTTAGCAGACAAAAGGCATTACAATCCTTCAGATGCAGAGTAAAGTGCAACACARCTCAGGGAGGAGTGCTCTCACCGATGCTCTTTTCTTCACTCCAGTCACTGTGCAAATCGCTGTTGTAGCAYTCAGGCTTTGGTCTCGCTCTCACTTGGAATGTGTACTTGCTRTTAGCATCAACATCAATTGACACAGAATTCACTTCAGACTAAGGTAAAAAAGGAAAAGGTAATTTGCTTTGTTCAATTACCAACATATTCTCAGTCACTTGCAAGCCTATTTACATAATGCAGCTAATGTGTTCTGAATGTTTGATGGAAGACCTTTCTAKGACAATAAAACCTCATTAAAAAAAAGGTCATAGTGGCATTTAACAAGCACAGAGTGCCTAAATGCACGTTCCAAAGTTAAGATTTAATCTCATTCACTGCTACATTTATCATACAGCATTTGGCATTCWTGATTAAACTCAGACATAGCATCTGGAACAGTGCCTTTTTTAATCTTTTTTTTCCCTTCTTCTGAGAAACATCTGTGATTCACACTGCCTTCCCCTKTTGTTGGGGCAGCATAACTTGGACCATACCAAAGTGTTCTGTGATGCCTCTACAGAGAAGAGCACGCATTAAATGGGATCGAACTTCAGTTATTTTTCACCTAAAATGCCAATTTCTTGAGGAATGTTGATACCATTCAAGTTTGGGTTAGAATAAACAACCAAATATATTCCACAGGAGAAGATTGACACTCACTTTGAAATTTTTCCCACTGTTTTTACCATTTTGATCAAACAGTACATTCAGTTTGCCTATGGACAGCATGAGTCCATCCAGACACTGAACTCAATGCTTTTTAAATGTACACTAAAATCAGTGTATCTGAGAGTGCACACCTCTTYCTTCCCTTCCATCTCCATTTTATCCCCTTGCCTCCTGAATGACATTCTCTGTTCTWGTGTGCACCAGCAAATGATTTTAATTTCCAGTAACTGAGGTCACACTATTCAAGACCAAAGCTGCCACAAGGCCACACAGATCAATAGCAGGAAAACCCAGCACCAAGACATGCCTGAGAAGCAAACAGGAACCATTTCCTGATAGCTCAGTAAATCCTTCTTTACCAGACTGTTCTTACACATAACTCTGCCCTAACAAATGAAGGATTCATAAGACTTGCATGAATTCTGATGTACAGCTTTTACTAAAATAAACCWACTGTATGAGAGAAAAATCCTGCATTCACACAGCACTTCCAGCTCTGGCACCCGACCCATTCACATGAACACATGTAACTGTTCGTTTTCAGCAGCAAACATTAGAAAAGATACATAGAAAAAAAAAATCAGTAATGAAAACTTACTCGAATTATCTGATGATCAATGTCCAAATCACCATTGTGCCATTTAACTTCATAATACAAACAACTTTTTGGAAAGTTTTCTGATTCACTCCATTTTACAAGTATTCTATCATTAGTCTTTGACAATGTCAATTGTCTTGGTGTAGCAGGTTTTACTGAAATGCAAAATGGATTAATTAGTTCAAAAATCTATTCCAAAATTACAAAGAAATTGTTCAGTCCTGTGTTGCAGAATATTGCACTTGTACCAGTATAGGAACCAAAAGAGGAAAAAAWTAGCACCAGAAAGTAAAAAAGGAGCAAATCCAACTGAAGAATAAGAATAGAATTGAATGGAAAATTACCCCTCCACTCTCCACCCCAGACACCTCCAAGGAAACAAACCCTGTCTATATAATTTCAAATTTCAAAGGTCTATGGAAGAAAGGAGCATCTAATCACATTGTCTTATCCACCCTTTGTGAGGTGAAAGTTTGTCAAACACAACAAAATACTATGAAACCTCTTATTTTCAGTATTTTGCATGATGTGGTGTTAAACTTACCAAGGGTGGTAGGATTTTTACTTGCACACACAGGCCTGATATCTTCAGAATCATCTCTAATCAAAATACTTATAGCTGGGTAAGTACTGCTGACTTTTGGGAAGGTAAAACTGAAAATGCATCCAAAGATTCCTTGGTCTACAGAAGAGTTGCTACACTTCTTAGGGTTTTCCAAACCATCAAACCTAGAGGAATAAAATTATTTTTTTAAACTTCAGAAGAAAAGGATAGCAAGGGGAAGGCTTGTTTTTAAAACTGTGCTACCAATTCTAAAGACAGATCTTGCATTAAAGCTGTGCTATGACATACAAAAAAGTAAAGCCAGGCAAAGTAAGAAGCSTCTAATTTATCTCAAGCTTTAGACAGAGTAGTGTTTTTGTGAAGAGTGCCAAGGAGCGGAAGGAGAGACAGGTTTGCTTTATATCAAAGAGAACAGCTGCTGTCAGCTTTGGTTCACATTTTCCATGTGGGAGAGCAAYTTCAAGGAGTAAAGAATATTTAGAAAACAAACTAATTTGGACTACTTCTTGTCAACAGAATTTCACCTCTGTGACAGAACAAGCTGATCAATCTCCTTCAGCTCTACCTCAAGTATTACAGCTCTTGAGACAGTTGAGTTTCACCTATTTACCTGATTTGCTTTTCAAAATGTGACTATTCCCTTCCAATAACAGAGAAGTTAAGAAGACTTCTTTCTTGCTTCTCTTTGTTCCCCAAGCTTCAATGAAAATATACAAGCAGATTTTTCTCCCAAGAAACCAAAACCAAAAAAATCACCTCACAGGCATTGTAAAAAAATGTATCTTTCAGTCTGAAATGGAAGTGTTTTCTTAGTTTTTTTGCTTTAAAATCTAAAAATTATTATTCTTTCAAAGCAGCATGAATTGAAACACCCTGCAGTCAYTGCAGCTACATCTTCCATTAAAATTAAGGGACAGGTTGAAAATACATAGATCAAATCTAAAGCAGTATTCCAGTAAGTATCCATATACCCACAAATTCAGATCTTCTACACTGAATTGGTCCCGTTCTTATAACAAAGAAAAAGTTTGAGCAGCAGTATAGACAGGGAACAAACACAACCCCCCCACAGTTAACTAAAGCAGAAAGTTTTCTGTCGTTTGCTGCCCAAATGCCCTGACTTGAACAGCTGCCCTGCGAATCTGTTGTTGGGAGAGGAAGAGAAAAAAGTTATGTAGTTAGCTCAACTAAGACAAAAAGCTGATTTAAAACTACAACATGTGGCTTTCAGAATGAAAAATTCACTATTTGTACAGAAGCTAATGCAATCTGGCCTTTCACAAGCCCCATCAAGGCTCAGAAGTATGCATAGATTAGTAAGTACAGATATTGATGCCAAGAGCTGGCTCACGCAAGTCTGTTCCTTTGGAACAAGACACCATTTATGGCAGTCCACCRGCCAGCAGGGATGATGATGATGATGATAAAAAGATGTTCTTCATAACTTCAAAGGTGAAGCAGTTATTTAGGACATCGAAGATACAAACAAAAGTACTGCTAAGAGTTAGTAATGCTTTAATACCATTTCCTAATGGTTTACGAGCTGACRTGCACATTGGTGAGTGATCCCAGCTTACACAGCCCATTTTGCTGGACTGCAAACAAAGCAATTAAGACATTGGTCTAGCTTAGTTCTTAATTCTTCCCTCTTCCCTCTGAATCAAGTGCCCAATCAGAAAAAAAACCTGAAAGCAACAGCAGCTATGTTAATACGGGCTACAGAAGCAAAAAAAAAAATAGTTACATCAACTTCACAAAAAGTCTTGGCCACAGCAGCCTCTGGCCCCTTCAGCAGTGAAGTTTTGTGTTGGACAGGACAGAGCAGTGACTTGGACACAACACCCTGGGAACTTTCAAAGCAACAGGAAGCAGACAAGTGGAATGTGTCATGTAAAACTGATGATTAGCCCTGAAGTGCTTTGGAGTTGGGATACAAAGCTCCTACGAACCAGTAGAACAATGTGTAGTTGGTGTCGCTGCTCGCGTTCTCCCCGGCGCGCCACGTACAAGCCATGTACTCTAAATTGTGCCAAACACAGCTCAAATCAACAGCTCCAGTACCTGGAATACCTGCAAGGCAAGTTGGAAAGGTTCTCTAAGATTTATTTTGTCCAAGTCTTCTCCCCTGCTTCCAGAGGTAAAACATCCCACTTTATGTAACTGAAACAGGAAGGCAAAAGTGGGTTACCTCTCAGACTACATTGCCTGTTCAGCACAACAAATTATAAATTCCAGCTGTTTAGAGTTAAATTTGTTACATTCCTCCCTCTTACATGAGCAATTGTAGGGTTATTTTAGGGACTCCTGTTTATATGGAAAAGTCATACAGAATGAACTGAGTTAGTCATGAAGGCAGCAGGCTTAATGGGACCTAAGTTATCTCTTTTCCCACAACCACCACACAGCCAGAAGAAGAGAAATAACAGGAACCACATTGCTGAACAATTATTTCAAAAGAGCACAAGTTCACCCACAAGACTTTAGKCATCAGAAGATCCCGGTTGTGTTCAAATGTGGTATAATCATTCTGTTTAAGTTCTACCAATTAAAMCAATTATGGTGCCTGGTATTTCTCCATGATGACTTTATGATTTCTTGTTAAAAGAGCAGAGAAAAAGCCACGTCTCCCCTGGCCAAGAGGGTCTGGCTGCTGTTGGTGTTACCTTTTGGTGGAAGGGAGGTCTCCACCCAGGGGCTGGGCTCGCTGCTGTTGTCATTCTTGCACTCACTTCTCACTCTGAGGCGCGTTTCCTCGTTCAGGCGCGCATTYGTGACACGGAAGCGACTCTTACTCCATTCCTGGGTTTAGATGAGAGGAAGAAAACCAAAATATTTGTCATACCTTCTCAGACATATGGGATTTCCTGCCACTGTAAGGATTTATTACAGCTCTTCAGAAATATTACAGTTCAAAGCCAAATGAAATCAGTGTCTGACTACGTGGGAAGCCTCAGCATCACTTGGCTTTGCTTCATTCTTCTCAAGCACTGTCAAAACTCAAAAAGGAAAGCTACTCCTAATCCTGTGACCTGCAGACATGAGTAAAGGCTACAGAGATCAAGAAATAAGTAAAACATCCTAGAATAAGTCTTCATGGCTAATGCAAAAYCAGCATGTTTATACTACAGCTGTATAAACAGGAGTTTACAGATCTGACCTTCACCTTTCTGTGTGTGTGCTCATGARGGCATGACCAACAGAATAAAAACATTTGAAGACACAGCCAAAAAGCAGTGAGAAGGGCTTAAATGGATTTAAGGAGCAAAAGAAAAACCTACCAAAACAAACCCATAAATGGCTATTAAATAAAATGATAGTTAATGATTTTCCATTTTTGAGTATGTTTGTGTCAAGAAAAGGCTCACCTTTTTATCACACACTGTCTTGAGTATCTTTTGTTGGGCTAGGGGGATGCCTTTCAGTTAAATGGAAACTGGATACGAAGCAAATATCTTTGTTATGGCCAGAGAATACTATAACCACTCATGCATAAGAATAATAAATACTGGCACTAATGAGAGGGCAAAGAAATCAAACAAATGTACAGATCATGTTCCATGAGCAAAAAGAAGCAGCAAGAACATACAGTSTGGTTCATCCTGTCCTGTGAAACTGTCAACCCTCAGTTCTTTTACTGCTGATGACCTTAACACCTGCTAGACCCTTCCACAAACTCAGCTYGTTAATCAAAAAGATTTTCTACTTGTTAATTTTGTTAATAAACCAATCAAGAGAGATAAATAGSTTTCTGCTGTGTTAGCAGGTTCAACCAGCTCATCTAAAGGTTCAGTGAAGGTCCCCTCACCATGGGTTCCCACCTTCCCCTAGAGCTCCTTCCCACCTGGCCAAACCACATCCTTACTCGTGTCCAGGATATCCTGGAGCTGTGAGACAAAATACAGTGGTCACCATGAAGAGGCAAATATAAGCATCAGGCTGTGACTGTAACGGGGCTCAACAACAAAGGAACTGCTTCAAGAGGCATCATGCCAATTGTCACCACATCTGAAACAGCAGCACAGCCCTGCCAGCCCCACAGCTGCCATCTACCAAAGGCTTCAAACTCACAGGATTTGGACTTATGGATTTGTTTCATTACTGGCAATAAATTGTACAAATACTCGTCCTATAACCCATGGCAATGGGCACCATGGCAATGCTGCTCTCAGCCCTGAACAAACAGTTGCTGATCCACAATAAGGAGCACATCTGGGCTGCAAACCATCAAACACAGAAAACGAAAGCCCAAAACAAACAAGTTTAATGRCTTCTGTTCCAGGGAACAAACAGGTTCCAAAACAACCCCATAAATAACTGTAAAAGCAGGGAGAAGGCGAGTGGGAAAAGTTAATACTTGGCATTACCTCCAAAAGATGCAATGCTGTCAAACCACAGCTAAATCTGCATGTCTCCTTAAAATGAGTTTCAAATAAAGGGGATCTTWGCAAATTCCCATTTAACTCKTAAGAATGTAGACTGCCCTGTATCYATTTTATTTTTTCTAGAAAGCTGCATAAGCAAAGACCGAAACRAGACTTTTCCCATTATTATTGCAGTACTTCTGTGTTAGCATCAGCAMTCGGTTATCAGCGAGCAACAGACAGATTTTTCTGATCTGAAGATCCCATATGCTGGTATGATTCATTTTTGAGGTTTTGATCCCATGATAAGAATAAAAGCCTATATTAAAGTTGTGTTTATATACATTTATAGGCTCTCACACACAGAATTTTATCCCAGTAAGATATTTACTGGAACACAGAGTTTAAAGAGGTGATGTACTCACTCTTCTGTCCTCAGGAGCCCCATTACTGACGATGTCACTGGAATACTCCAGGTTGCAGCTACTGCTGACATTCTCAGGGGGGTTCCACGTCCAGTTCAGAGTGCAGATATGGATAAATGAATAGTTCAAGTTGGATGGAGGTGGAAGAATTTTTGCYCCTRGAAGAAAAGARTTATMAGTGTGTTAATCCTGTTGGTCCACMCTTTACTRTTAGYAATACTGGGAGATTTTTAACTCTYCAACAGAAARGAACAYAAATAACTTCTCAACTTCGTCAGCTCATATTTGCCATCAGATAAGCTAAATTGTTTCTTTTACTCTTGTTACCTCAACCCATCTATAATTTAAAAATGCACAAATTAACTGAATTTTTAAGTAATTTTTAAGAAATTGTAGCCTGCAACAATATAGTGGTTGCAATACTCGAGCTTTTGCACATTGAGGGAAAATGAGTCACATGCTGAAATTTTAATAAAAACAGCGTATACATTTTATGTATATGAGCAATTAATACTTTGTTCTACCCAAAAATTATTCATCAATGCAGTTTTAAATATAAATCCTTAATAATACAAGCGATTACATCTTGCAAGCAACAGGTGTATGTTGGTAGCACAATTCAGCCCAAKCAAAGCAAAGACCGCAAATGCAAGAATGTTGAAAAACAACAAGGAAACCACATCACTTTTTCAATTACCTATTAAACATTTAATACTATGTTCTGGCACAGTGAACAAAACCAGTGTGGGACAAGTGGTAATTTACTGCTGGCACACTTTGGTGGTACATTTTTTCACCTCCCCAGACGCCAGACAGGAGCAGAGCAGGGACGTGACTCAGAGGCGGTCGCGGTGATAAATCCATTTGGGCACTGACCCTTCTTTATCTTGTGCACTGAGTCAATGCCTCCTCGAGACCCACCACACACCCTGAAGGCCATATTAKAAAACAAAGAAAGGAAATGCGACAGAAAATGGAAAACTTCCAGGAAAAAGGAGAGTATGTGTCAGACATCAATTCTAGCAAACATCACCAACTGGGAAATCCCTGAGAAAGTGAAAGTGGATTTTGTATTTTCAAAGGGCTACTCTAACATGTGCTATGAGAAAACATTGAACCAGAAGCCCAAAGAAACAAGTTGTGAGGCATCATCACAAGAAGCTCCACCACTTGTTTGTCTATGGACAGTGAGTACTTGTTACTCAATAGTTTCACAAGCACTTCAAACAGATGTCAGCTGGTGCTGCAGGTCTTGCTGTCCCAGGGAACCAAGCTCAACCCATCCCAACATTTAAGAGAGCACGGAAAAAGGCAAAGTAATTCCACCAAGATCAGTTTTCCCATCCAGTTGACAATGCAGCCCCRTTTCCTTCTGCTAGCACAAGGAAGAGGGAAGACAGAGAAGCAAAMGAGCTTCCTTGAGCAAGCTCAAAGCATCCATGACTTATCTTACATTTCTCAAAAGCCAGAGCARCCAAAGCTTTCAGGGAATTCCTCCTGGAACTGTCTCAGACCTTTGCATAGTTCAAGGACAGGCAACGGTAGGGATCAGGCACTATGACCATTGGTGTGCCCATGTGTAGGCACAGATAATGGATGCTCTCACAGATAATGAGAATAATTACAATTATTCACTGATTTAGTCTGAATATGCTTTGTTTATTTGATCACTTAAAACTTCAGGGGTTTTTGTTTGTTCAGTTTTGCAGATGGTGTAAAACTGAATATCAGGAGCAGAAACATTTTTGTTCTTGCAAAAATACAGTCTTCATTGAGAAAACTGATCCTAACCAAAATGTTTTTGCCTATTACCTGTCCCACTAATAAAAACCCAGGACAGGCTTTAGGAACAGCAATGGGGCATTAACTTTGCAAGTACTGAGTCCTTTTCATGTAAAAAAAAAGCCAAAAACAACGAAGCAAAGWTTTTCAACAAGAGTATAGAGCTCCAAGCATTCCCACTTTTCATGACTGAACTTTTTATTACCTACAATARCCACAAACCATCAAATAATATGTGTCATCCCTGATTGCTATTCTGAAATTCTAAACATTTTCTTCTAACGGATTCAATTAGCAGCCATTGTGCTTAAGTTCGCACATTTCTAGCCACACAAAATAAAAAGTGAATATTCAAAAGTTATAAATTAAGCAATAAATTGTGTTAGCACAACAAGTTTAAATCTAGTAGGTTTTTGATTAATCTACAGAATTCTGAGGCTCATGCTGGAATGTTTTCCACATTTGCCACACAAAAGAAGTGTGAATATTCAAAAGTCACAAATTAAGCAATAAAATGCATTAGCACTGAAAGTTTAAATCTAGTAGGTTTTTGATTAATCTAAAGARTTCTGAAGCTCATGCTGTAATGTTACATTCAGCTTTTATTCATAGGTTAGGCCAATCTCATACTTTTGTCTGTGTAAAATACAGAGTCTCACGCTTTCAGTATTAAAATTTCTACAGCAATTTGGCAGAACAACTCAATTACTGACTACAAAACATAGGCAAGCCGTTATTTCACTCTTAAAAAGCAAAACCACAGTGGTGCTTCCAAGAAAAGAAGCACAGCAGTAGCCAGCAGAGATTAACTGAGGCAATCCCACATACAAAACATAATATTGCTAAAACCCCTAATGTGGAAACATCAGCGAATCCTTTTCAAGTATCGTGTCAGTGCTGTAAAGTAATAAAAAAMCCATCACATTTGTATTTTGTCCTCCTGCGTTTTCTGAAGGTTGATTTCACAGTTATAACCCGAATTGCAGACAGCTGAGAGATAACAATTCTCTAATGTTTGCAGCTGGGTTTTTTTTGGATAGCGTGACCAGAAAACAAAGCTTCAAGCCCGTATCTTTATGAAGCGCTCACAGACACGCACGCATCTTTCCTAAAACTAAAGGTTCGTGCTTCCAAAATCGGGAATTCTAAAGGAAGAGCGAAGGCTCGGGGCGAGCGAGGCTCTGCGTGCCCGCACCCGGCGGAGCCGGTCCCGCACCACCGCAAGGCACGGGCGAGRCGGGGGGTTCTGCTTGGGGTTTTAAGGCAGGGACAGTCCCGGGAACCGAAGATGGGGCTTAAAACATTTCTGCCGACCCTGTCAAGCGCTGCCGCACTGAGAGAGGAGCGCAGATTTTCAGCATCCCCGCGCCGCGTAAGCGGCCGCGCTCGCACACGGCTGACGCGCATGGAGYAATTTCTATCACAAAACGAAAGCATTTCACTTCAGTGAGACCATTTCATTTAAATGAGACCATTTCGCT